GCTCATGAAGTAGCTATGCTCCTGAGAGAAGAGGGGAAAGGGAAAAAAATTCAGTGGAAGCATGTGTGTGAATGAGAAAGACACAGTTGGAAAAGTGAAAGTTCGAGGAGTAGAGATAGCGAAGGTAGATGAGTTTAAGTAACAAGAATGTAAAGGAACTGTGAATGCACAAGAGAGGTGAAGAAGAGAGTGCAGGCAGGGTGGAATGGGTGGAGGCAAGTCTCCGACTGATTTGTGAAGGAATGGTAACAGCAAGAGTGAAAGGGGAATGAGACCTGCTATGATGTATGGTTCGGAGACAGGCACTAACAAACAGACAGGATGTGAAGCTGTGTGGTATGAAGACAAGAAGAAGAGCACATAAAAGGGTGGCTGTGGCTCAGGTGGTAGAGCAGATCAGCTACTAATTGGAAGGTTGGTGGTTCGATCCCTGGCTTCCCCAGTCTGCATGCCAAATATCCCTGGCAAGATACTAACCCCAAGTTTCCCTCCGATGTGTTCATCAGAGTATGACTGTGTGTGAAGGTAGTTTAGTTTGCACTTGTGCTTGGGTGAATGAATGTTGTATACAGGGAGAGTAGAAAAGCGCTATATAAGAATCAGTTTACCAGAAGGTTCATGAATGTAGTGAAGGAGGACATGCAGAGGGCCTTTGTAACAGAGGAGAATGCTAGAAATGAGGTGAGATGGAGGCTGATGTATCTAAACAGAGCAGCAGTAAGAAGTTGTTGTGCATCTTTTCATGAATCAGTGTGGGAAAGAAATGTTGCCTTTTTATTAAATTGTCTTCCAGGTCTAGTGACGCGAGTGAGCGGATGTACTTACAATAAACAGTCAGGTTAAACTGCTTCCATAAGATGGTGTCACCGATGGCCTGCCACTTGTAGATGCCTGAGTCCTGGACGCTGAGCTGTGTGATGGTCAAAGCTCCAGTCTGACTGTCCAGCTGCAGTCTGTCTCTAAAACGCTCATCATAGTCACTCTTCACCGCCCTCTTCTTTATGGTGGCAAGCATGCTTTGATTTTTGGCTCCAAAAGTCCATATTATCCTGGCATTACTTGGACTTTCTCCTGTCTGTAGGGTGACATCTGCTCTCTCTTTTGCTTTCACAGCAGTCTTTCCTTCATTTCCACCAAAACAACACAGTATTCCTGAGAGAGAGAAGATGTGGCTTCATGAGAATTCCTTGTGAAAATGCTAAAATTGCTTTTGCGTAAATGTCTTGAAGCATGCTTAATCATCCAGGTAATCTGTTCATCTGGTTGTAACGTTTTCAGTTGAGAAATGTTTCTCCCACTGAAAATGCTATGTAAATGTTTTCTTTTATGTTTCCAATATGACAGACAGAATTTCACCTCTCACTAAGAGCTACTTTCTTTGTTCAATGATGCTGAAGAGGTCATACAGGTAAATCACCTTTCCTGTTGTTTTCACCACAGTAAAAAATCATCACTGATTAATAATAACAATAAATAAGTCAAACCACCATTAAATTTGTTTTAAAATGGGATGCAAGATCGTTTATAATAACACTGACTGACTCTGGACTAAGAAGCAATTACTGCAGCTTCAGGCTTCAAAATCTCTCCAGCGTCATTCAACAACTGTGCACAAAGCTTGACCTTCAGTGGGTACTGCACTATTTTGAATTTGCAAGTAACTTACAGTTTTTCTCAATTGCTAAAACACTAAATCCTATTGCCTGAACCAAAGTCTCAGTTGCCTGAACCCACTTATTGAATCAGTCACTCTTTTGGCAAAACCATAAGCACTTTTCATCTGTTTAGACACATCTTGTCAACACATTGTCATTGTGATGCACCTGTGTTGCATAGTGGTGAGCACAGGTGGAAAAAGTCAAACACTTTAGCTCAGGTGGCAGAGCAGGCCGGGATCGAACTACTAACCAGAAGGTTTGTGGTTCGATCCCAGGCTGCTCTAGTCTGCATGCCAAATATCCTTAGGCAAGATGCTAACACCATGTTGCTCTCCGATGCATCCATCGGCATGTGAATGGTAGACTACTTAGCTCAGAAAAAAGTGTTTGGGCGAATGAATTAGTTGTATGAAGCGCTTTGAGTGCTCAGACAGAGTAGAAAAGCGCTATATAAGAACCAGTCCATTTACTGGTTGAACACAACAACTCAAAATTTCTCACACTTGTGGCTAATGATGTGATATCAGATTAAATCAGAGCTACTGTGATTGACCATGTTCTTGTCCATGGTATGACAATGAAGGAGGCCGGACTAAGGGTACAACCAAACATCAGTAGATTCACCGTGTCCACCATAATCCAAACATTTAGAGAAGAGCGCAGGTAGTTACCTTTTTTCACATCATAGTATGTAAATGTTGACAACAGTTACAAGATGGCGCCAGTGTGTGTGGCTCGCCATCTGTTTCTTCCCCTGTTGTGCTTGTTTGTGTTGTTTTTTATTGCTAGAGTCAACCCTCTTTTAATGTACAATTGCCAAACTCTGCTGGACCTCCGACTAGTTGCCAGTGATCTTACCAATGCAACTTATACTGGACATAAGATGTTACCTCCATTCCTATCTGGGTTACCAGCTAACCTTTGTCGGATCCTGGCCCTAGCCTCACGGCAAAAGCGTTTCAGACGCCGGGGCAAACGCAGCGGTCTGTTCGTGAAACTTAAGGCATACTTGGTGCGCTCTTTCCCGGCTCCTTGGAACGAACATGGATCTGTGCCTCACAATGTCTTTTCTCTGCGCTCTCTGGAGCCCATCGATGCCTGGCTGGTGCCCGTTGTTGGCTCAGATCAGATGTCCCAGCCACGAAGGATTTTCCCTCATCTTTGTCGGCGCAGTGCGAACCTATAGAACCTGCGGTCGCTGTGTCGGGTCTCGCAGTCAGCCACGAACACGCTGACCTCCACCAGGTTTGGATTGGTGAACACTAGATTGCTGAGTAATAAAACTTTTATTTTAAAGGATTTATTTATGACCCAAGGACTGGATTTCCTCTGTGAAACTGAGACATGGTTGAGGGCCAGTTCAATTCAATTCAATTCAATTTTATTTATATAGCGCCAAATCACAACAAA